AAAATATTGATGCTATATATATAAGTTTATCATGCTGTTTTGGTATTGTTCAGTTAGTTAACACTTTAGTAAACACATTTCGTGAGTAGAAATTAACATTCTCATTCAGTGCTTGAAACTGTCACACAATATAGTGCTAACAAATAATTGTTTTTAATGAAAGATAAAACAATTGACTATAGACTATATTATTGCTGCCTGCGCTGCAATTTTTCCCATCTTATTATTTCTGTTTCGAATTCTACTTCCGGTGCGTACTAAATACAACACACACACACACGAGTAGCAAATCGATTATCGTCATATTAATTCTGGAATCTAATGTTTATACTGACAAAAATACCAATGTTCTAAGATGCTGAAAAAATAATTCCCAAATGTATAATAATATTTTTGATAAACATATTGGTAACATTCTTCTCTACAGAGTGTTTGATATTAATCGTCATGTTCTTGACAACACGGAAAACTGACGTCATTCAGAATGTGTAAATAATAATATTGTCGACATATATTATTAAATCACTGATTTTCTTACCACCGCAGTTGAAAAAGTACTTGGAGTCGAATAGGTCTGTGCCGGATATGCCTGATTATAATATTGTTGCTGGGAATAGTACTGGTCATATGACGGTGGAGCAGGTTCTGTTTGATTCATATCTGAAAGAAAGCTACCGGTAACATGATACTGCAACACTCTATAAGAAAGCGACATGTGAAGCGTGAAATGCATATGGGGTTACCGGAAAGAGATATTCAAATGATGCGTGGTAATATGCAAATAATGTATGATAATATGCAAATGCAATGCCTATGGTGGAATAATGGTGAGAAATGCAAATGATGTATGATAATATGCAAATAATGTAAGATAATATGCAAGTATACTGGTGGAAGGTGGAACCAGGGCGCACATTTCTCGCGCGAAGTTTTCATGCCACGGTGGGAAAGTATAATATTTGAAAGCACTTCAATTTAATCATTTCAGGGAATGTCGTAACATGTTGTAGCGGTCTGGACCTAAAACGGAAATTTCGCATGGCGTAGCACCCCCACCCCAATGTAAAACGCAGCAACCAATTCCCCTCGATAAAAGTGTCCGTTATGAAAATATTCAAGGTGTTGTACGTAGCAGACAAATATTGCAATTCAGTTGAGAGACGAAAATTTCACAACTTCGTTGTATAAGATAAAAATATAATCTGACTATTTTAATTCATACTCCATTGAATATTTTTTTTTTTCATTTGAAATGTATATTTGTTATCAGCTGCCACAGAATGGCATGACAACCAATAAACAAGATACAAAACATTTAGAAGTCATAATGGCCATTTACATCCAAATGCCATTTTAAGATATTACATCTACTGAGCATGTTACTGGCTGTGTTGCATTGTATTGTGCGAAATACATTCAAATTAAATGTAATTTATTTATTTTTAAATAGAACAAATATATATATATATACATGTATAATGTCACTCGCCGCGAGAGTAGCCAGTAAGCGATAGCGCCATAGCAGGTAATTTTCTGCAGTAATACGAGAAACTGGCAATAATTCTTAATTGCGAACTTCAAAACATCTGACAAAAGGTTTTATTGGTGTTGTTGAGAATTAAATTATTTTGAGCAGTGAAGTCGTAAATCAAGTGTGGTTTTAGCTGTTGAGCAGATGGTTGAAATAAGATTTGTTCAGGGGGGGAAATTATGAGGTTGAATGGGGTTGAGTGGGGTTGAGGAAATCTAGATTACTAATCGATCTATTGCTATTTTAAGCACATGTTATTGCAGTTCATTGGTATATTCGCCACACTGCTACCACAGATGTTTCAATTGTGTAATAAAGTTCTTATTGTTACTATTTAAAACCAAGGTAGTTGAAAGCGTGTTCCTATAATTACGTCTAAAATGAAATAACAACGTATTTGTAGTGCTTCATATGATATACTAAACCACTGTACACGGTGTCTAAAAATATCACATGTACAGAGATATTCCTAGATCAGATTATGGTGTCGAACCCATGGTATTTAATGTTGAATCAAACTCATTTTCTAGACGACCACCTACAAAAATCAGCTTTTTGACTTAAACATAGAATTTAAATAACCATTATAATGTATGAAACAGCTTACTTACTTTCTTTATTGGCCCTGTTTACGATATAGAGAATTGTAATTTAACGCCACTAAAACTCCAATATTTCTGTGTACCAGTCGAAATCTGAAAATGTGGGTATTCAAAATGGCAACCTCAAAAAAATGCCCGGATGTGTCTGTCTTTTTACATATCTATGGGAACACTTTTAAATTAAATTAAATTAAATTAAATTAAATTAAATTAAATTAAATTAAATTAAATTAAATTAAATTAAATTAAATTAAATTAAATTAAATTAAATTAAATTAAATTAAATTAAATTAAATTAGCATATGATTTATTTGTTACCATAGTTATCGGTTAATGTCTTTCTGTAGCAAGTCAGATATCGAGAAAAAGCGTTAGAAAATACTTTCTATCTTTCTCACAAATATCGCTACACGTATTGGGATATTTGAAAGTTGCTTTATGTCAATACACATACTATTTACCTTTTTTTCCATTGCGTCGCATTGCGTCGTTGTCAAGTTATGGTACAGGGCATTTGATCTGACATAATGTCTTGTTTTTACTTATTTGGGAGACTATTTTTTTTCTATAATAATTATTATAATTTCGAGTTTTTAACAATGAAACAAATACGCCAATAATGCAGTTCGTGGCAATTTCATAGGTAGTTCTTTCTACATTCACCTGGGAGAAATATGCGAATTACCTAATTATTATGTATAAATCTGTAAATCATATACAAAATGTAACATTCTAAGTAGATGTACGGAGTAGTAAATAATTGTTATTAAATTAACCATACATACCAATATTAACACATAGTGAATTTAGAAAACTAAATTTCTACATTCGATGTTTTTGCTTTCTTTTGCTTTGAGATTTAATTAATAATTACTGCCAAACAATAATTGTATTAATATGCAAATGTTTCTGTTCCCTTACTTCCAGACTCCGACAGATCGCAGCCTACAGAGGGCGGTTCGTAATATGGACCTTGGCTGGTTCCTGCACTGCCTCAAGTGTCATGGCGCACCAAGACACAGGAGGCATGTAACTAGTAATAGATTCATCGTTCTGATTGATCCATCACACTTTCATTCCTTGCTCCCCTGACATCAGTGCTTACGCTCGTGGTCGTTTCAAGTTTATATATAGTGCAGAGGTTTTCTTGTAATTTCTTTATTTGTATAAATGTTTGTAAATTGTAATGACAGTTGAATCAAACCAGACATGCAACGAGCGCAGTGCGTAATTCCACATTTAAAAATGTTCTGATGTTATTCACTTGGCCAAAAGAAACTTCTCGTTTCAGTTTCAAAATAACTTGCGTTCACTGCGTGATCCCGCGTTAGGTGTGAAATTGAACGTAGAAACAGAACAACAGGGGTCATAGCATCGAAGTGACGTCAAAGTATTCTACAAACGCAAAACTATGTTTCTAGATTTGGTATTACCACGCTTAATAATGAGCTACATATTTGATGATGGTCAATGTCGAAGCCTAGTCATAATGTTTGACAAAATTGGTCATCAATCGCATGGCAATGTTCATTAGTTCATTATGTACAATCATGAAGCTATTGTCTCATGGTACAATGAAGAAAAACGAAAAGTACTCCATCATTAACAATATATGATTTTTTCAGCCTATGTCACCAGCCTAGATTTTGAGATATTGCATAATATCTCTGCCATAGGAAGCTGTGGTAAAATCGTTATAATAGTGTCATAATTGCGACTTTCCCCTAAAATACAACCATCAATTTCTCTAAAAAAAAAGCTGGTGACCCCCAACTTCTTTTAGGTCAATATCCTTTATATTGTCTTGGAGTACAATTTATTGCAAAATGAATAAATTCTGGGTTTTTAAATTTAAGATATGCATTTCTGTGAGAAAAAAAAAAGATAAATTCAAGTTCGAAATCAAATCATTCGTACCACGTCTTTCAAGCATTACACGCCATCTCACAGTAAACAGGAAACATAATCGAATGGAGAGATAGGGTTTGTTGTGTCAATAATATACAATTCAAATAATATAATTTCTCCATATCGAACTTGTTTTCTCATGTTTGCGTCAAGGTACTAGTATTTACTGCTCTACTTAGTTTTATTGTATACATTTTTCTCACATTAAATTTTTTCGGCTACACCAATAACCACCTTTACAGT